CCTCCCTCCCAACCTCCCAACCTCTGAGAGATGCTTGCTGTCGAAATGGTAACAGGAGCTCATCTGATACTGAAAATGACTGAATGTTTTTCTCCTGTAGGGATAATAAAGTATCCTTAAATGTAGGTTCACAATTAAAATTTCTTAGCGTTTTTGTCAAGCATCAGGTGAACTGCAGCCTTTCATAGTGTCAGTGTTACACGTAGTAGTAATAGAAAGTTTTTCAGGCACTTTAACCTGCAACTAATCTCACACTGGTGATTTTGGAAAGAATTTGCACCAGAGAGGACACTCTTGCTGAAAAAAAATGCCAAAATATGTGATGTGCTAATTATTTACCTACTGCTAGATTCATCATGTGAATGCTCATGTAATATTATTTCCAAGTTGTTGGTAAATTTGGTTTTTTTTGGCTAGGTTGAATTTTTTTTTTGTATTTTTCAGATGAAAAATATGTATAGTGACCTGAAATAAAGAGGCATGTTGCTTCTAAAATTTTAATCTATTAAATCCTAATATAAAAAAAATTGAAATAGATTTAATCTATTAAAAATCCTGACCCACGTTGCAGTTGTTCCTTAAACTCCACAGATTCATTTGCCTTATACCCTGTTGTACCATATAAAAGATTCTGGAAGTTCCTGTCATAGCATCCCAAGGATCACTCTTAGTCCACTGTTGGCTTAGAGTCTAATAGATTTTCTGTCTGTATTGTGGAGAGTATTTGCGAAGATCCACTGAGATTAATTCACTTCGGTTATATAAATCTGTTTGTGTTTGCTGACTGTAGCTGTCTTGCACAGGGCTAGGGCATGTGTGCTTACACTGGTGTCAGGTGGCAGGAATTAAATAGCTATCAACGTGCAGCATTTTTGTAGTTGTGGCAAAGGCAGAAAGCCTGTTTGGTAAAAGTCAGCTAGATGGATTGTTTGCTTAGTTTGCGGCAAGAAATTTGGAGTGGATGATAAGTGGTGTTCAGTTCAGCCCCTGAGTTAGTCCTTTCTGAAAGGTATCAGATTGAGAGTGTAATTGAAGGGCTGGATGTAATAATTTAGTTCCATTGATTGGTAGAAAGGAAGCCATAACCAAGCTGCAAATGTCTGGTATAGATAGATATATGTTAGATATATGTTTTTAGATGGATAGATATAACTTGTCACTTTTTGAATATATAGCAGGGCCTCGCTGCAAATTTAAACTTGTTGTGCGAAATAATAGCAATTCTCTCTACAGGTTGTGTAGGCAACATTTTGTTGTCTACCTAAATTTCTATTTTGGGAGAACACAACCAGGCCACCCGAATGAATTACTCCAGCACACAATTCTAAATCTTGATTAAATCAGTGACTGATTGCCAAGGTATACAAAATCGGCTTTACAATAAAGTTGTGGCCTGGATTACAATGGTGGAATGGAGACATTATTGCTTATGGTTGCCACTCGAACATGATTTCCCTTTTTTTCCTATTTGCTGGACATTTGCAATGTGCTCAGTTTCAGGTAGAGGATTAGAAGATAAGAAAGTGATAGCCTGAACAATTTCTAAGTAGTACTAAGACAAACATAAAGAACAATAAGTCTATTTATTAAAAAAAATTAAAAAAGATGAAGAGCCTGCTTCATGTGTATTAAGTTCTGAGTTTTTTATTATTTTACTACTACTACTATTAATCTATTTTACTGTTAAAGAGCAATTAAGTTTATAAAAATCAAAAGCCAAGAGAGGTAGTTGCCTGCTGCCATTTTCTTGTGTTTCTGTCTTGGTGTCATGCAAAGGTTCATTTTCAAGCTGCCAGATGTGTAAGGAAGCATATAGGAAATATGAAATTTCAAAAACTGGCTTAGGCATCATTCTGTCTCTTTTGGCGCTAATACCTTTGAAAATCTTCAAGTCTTTAGAAAGTCTGTTTTAGGATTATAGTGGCTATAAAGTATCTATGAAGCAGGAAATCCAGAATAACAAGCAGGTTGGAGAACATGTTAGAAGTCCTAGCTCAGAGAGGCACATAAGCACATTGCCTACGTATGTACCATGCGTTCACTATTGGATAATATTCTGGTAAAATGTTGTAATTTAGAAGAAGATAATAATTTAGCAGAGGAGCAATGGCCTTCAAAACACCTTTTCATTCTATGCATTCTTCTGGATATAGGGATTTTTATCTCCCCCTCCAGCTGTTTGGCTCAATGTTGAGTTTTGTAAGTCTTTTCTTGGAAATTCTGTTTTTCTTCTGTATTTGACTGTAGTAATCTGAACTAAAGATCAAATAGTAGCATTTTTCTTTAAGTCCTTAAAAATCCTAGGTAAGTGCTGTGGTGTCTCCAGATTAATGGTACTTTATAGGTTTACTTACTAGAATACCAGTGTTTGGATTTCTGTCATACTGTGTGTGATCTGTCTGCTATTCTCCTCTGGCCTGAATGCAAAGCTTCATGTATAGAAATCTGTGAATAAACTGGGCAGGGTTTTTTTTTATGAATCGGAATATACATTAAGATGATTTTGATGATTTATTGCTATTGTTAAAGTGAAGATCTATGTGATTCTGATGTCCTCTTTTTCCTCTTTTTTTTTTTTTTCAGTTTATTGCTTTTGCTTCTTTATTCTTCATCTTAGTCTCAATCACAACCTTTTGCCTGGAAACGCATGAGGCTTTCAATACTATCATAAACAAAACCGAGCAGGTTGTCAATGGCACAGAAGCCGTTCTACAGTATGAAATTGAGACAGATCCAGCTCTGACGTACGTGGAAGGGGTCTGCGTGGTGTGGTTTACATTTGAATTTTTAGTCCGCGTTGTGTTTTCCCCAAACAAACTCGAATTCATCAAAAACCTGTTGAATATCATTGACTTTGTGGCCATCCTGCCCTTCTACCTAGAAGTGGGCCTGAGTGGGCTCTCCTCCAAAGCGGCTAAGGATGTGCTTGGCTTCCTCAGGGTGGTAAGGTTTGTGAGAATCCTGCGCATCTTCAAGCTCACGCGGCACTTTGTGGGTCTCCGGGTGCTGGGCCACACTCTGCGAGCCAGCACCAACGAGTTTTTGCTGCTGATAATATTCCTGGCACTCGGTGTTTTGATATTTGCCACCATGATCTACTACGCGGAGCGTGTGGGCGCCCAGCCCAACGACCCCTCAGCGAGCGAGCACACGCAGTTCAAAAATATCCCCATCGGCTTCTGGTGGGCTGTGGTGACCATGACCACCCTGGGATACGGGGATATGTATCCGCGGACCTGGTCGGGCATGCTGGTGGGGGCCTTGTGCGCTTTGGCCGGGGTGCTGACCATAGCCATGCCCGTGCCTGTGATCGTTAACAATTTTGGAATGTACTACTCCCTGGCGATGGCCAAGCAGAAACTGCCGAGGAAGCGGAAGAAGCACATCCCTCCGGCCCCTCAAGCCAGCTCCCCCACGTTCTGCAAGACGGACTTGAACATGGCCTGCAACAGCACGCAGGGGGACATCTGCCTGGGCAAGGACAACCAGCTGATGGAGCATAACAGGTCATCAGGTAGGACCCCACTGGAAATGCATGTCCTCTCCAAACACTTTATAGACCAGTATGTTTGGTAGGCGTCAGAAAGCATCCAGTCTTTCTGCCGTGAGCAGATAGAGCTCCTACCCTTCTCCCCTCCAGTGTTTGCGTGTTATTGTAGAGGACCAAATAGTTACAGTGACGTTCCTAATTCTATATGTAGCTGGTCTATACAGTTTTGCTTGCTCTGTTGTGAATGCTTTCCTGCTGATGATATCAACCTTTTTTTTTGCCTGTTGTTCGTTGTGTTGTATGGGTGTTTCTTGTTTTTTCTGCATGACTGTGACAATTTGAACAGCCACCGTGTCCCACCCTGTTGAATTCCATGGTGTTTTGCCTCAGTGTTTGTCTCTTGTATCAGCTTTGCCTATGCCACATAGTGGGCTGTTAAACAAGATCCTAAAAAGAAGCAGCCACTTACAAGGAACAGGTGCTTTACATAAAAAGCCCAGCACTCAAAGGAAATAAGAGGAAATTCTCTTTCTAGCTTTCTTTTCATTTGGTTCTGCTTCCCTGGCAGGAAGAACCTCCTTCATCTGTGTTAGATGAGAAGTTGCATGGTGTTAACTATTAATTGGATGATAATAGTAAAGCAAATGTAAAGTTTGTCGGGAAAAACGAAAATGGCAATCTCCAACATCATCATCAATTGGCTTCTGTCAGTGTTTATTTCTATGGTTTGTATTACCTTAACTCTTAGAGCCCCAAATTATGGATCTGGAATGTTTTGTACAAATTTCTGTGAAGAAAGCATATCGAGTGATAGCTTCTACCACTCCAAACCACTGCCCCAAATTCCATATTTTTTTGAAATAAAAGAGAGTGTACAGTATCTTACAGTATAATTGAAGCAAATTTGTAGCAGTAGAGATTTTTATTTGATGAACGTAGGATGTATTCGTTCTTATGCCAAACACAATATGATAGCAAAACTCACAGACCAGTCATTAGACTCCAAATGGAAGGTTGTTAAATGCTAATAAGGCTCCCTCAAAACATGACTGTCATTCAGTACTGAAATTTATCTTTCAAAAAGAATAATGTATAAAATCTGCCTCTGAACAATATTCTTCTTTGTTCTGTTGCTCTGTTACTGGATAGCATTTATGTTCAAAGAAGCACCGTTTCAGCCTCTGAGGGAGCGCTCACAGAAAAAGTTAACACAGCTTTTTGAACATCTTAGAGATATTCAAGAGGATGGAAACTCTTGAAAGGTCCTGTGTTGTGGGTGGAATATAGTTAGTTTTACAGTTCTTTTGACTGATGCACACTTTCAGATAACATCTTTAAAGTGTTAATGAAAACAGCTTTTTCATGTCATCAGGTCCTGCTACAGGTATAGCAGAGTGGAAGAGGCTCAATGTGATCAGAGCAAAAAGAGACTCTTCTTGTGTGTCTGCAGTTTTATTTATAAGGTGTTATAATCCTGGGGGTTAGAGAGGCAGCAGATAGACAGAAAGGAGCAATTGTTATGTGTTAGCTTTCTCTTTGGTGGTGCTACAACTTACATTGTACTTACTTCATTCGGGCTGGGAAATTCTGTTTGACTAATCAGGAATTTTGTGCAAAACCTCAAGGCTGAATCTATATTTATATATAGCCCTTTGCATTACCATTTCAGAAGAGCACCTGCTTAGCTTTAAATGCAAAGATAAAGTTGAAATCAATAATGCCATTACCTGTTACATGCCTTACTGAGCAGAGATTTTTTTCTGGAAGTGTCAGATCTGAGTCTGAAATAGTAGATAATTATCAAAAGAGCCCTTTGGGATCAGTAGAGGTAAGAGTTTTGCCATTTGACTAAATTAACTACACAGATCAAAGAAAGCATTAAGCATTGGATAATTATGATGACAAGCAATCCTCAGTAAGATAACAAGCATAGAAATGAATGCTACATGTGTATTTTGAAGGAGGTTTTAGTGCCAAATATTTCACAGTTTAACCCTTCTGGGGAGATTTTTTAAACTATGCTAAGGAACATATTCTAAGCAAAAATGACTAGCATGGCTTCTTCTTTAATAAAAAGGATAGCCAAAATAATAAATTCATTTTTGAAATATATGTGATTGACTGTACTCAGTAAGATTACAGTCCATAAAAGGCAACTAACTTAATCTTAAATTGATAATTTCTTTTATTTCATGTTAAGTTAGTGGAACATGAAGCAAGACTTTAAAAGAACAGGGAAGTCAAAAGATCATTTATGCTTGAAAAAAAAAGATATGTTTTTGCCATTTTGTACTGATGAATGATGAATTGCAACCTTGTTTTCTTCCAATGATTTATCTTATATACTATTTTTTGAGTAATGGGAATATCTGTCATTCAATGTAAGCTCTTTGTGATGTCTCATTTCCTCATTCATTATTGTCTGTAAATGGGCATGGTGCTTTAACCAGTGTTATCAGGTGAAGACAGTGCAGGAAGTGAGCAGCCACTCTCACCTGGTGAAAGGCTTCCTCCCATCAGACGCTCTAGTACCAGAGACAAAAACAGAAGAGGGGGAACATGTTTCCTACTGACAACAGGTGATTACACGTGTGCTACTGATGGAGGGATCAGGAAAGGTATGGACTTCTTTCATTAGATCATAAAAGGTCACTCAGCAAATCATGTGCACAACGCTGTTATAGGAAAAAATGTATTCTCACAATGTATTTTTTTTTTCCTAGTCATTCTCTCCTTGCTTTCCTTTTAGAAACACACCTTTAATTCTCAATTTTTTTAAAAAAGTGCTTGATGTTGGACCCTCATTCTACTTGTGTCTTCATTTGTCTGTTATGGAAAAGCGTGTAAATCAGACCTTTCTCATTCAATCACTCATCACTCAATACCATGTCATTCTAAAGGACAAATTAATAAGTTAATAACTCCATTCTAGTCTTAATAGCTGTTTTTAGTAAGAATTAAAACCAAATAAAATACATGTAAGCATTGAAATACCAGAAGTAAACAGTATATTTGTTCACAACAGAAAATACTGCATGAGATTCTGTTGCGATTTCTGTCACAAAATATCACAAAAAAAAGTTTCCTATTTGCAAAACACCACTAATGCTGAATGGTGACTGCTTTAGCACAGTCTACCCCAGCTAGAATTCAATTAGATTAAAAAAGACTTGATCTTGCAAGGTGCTGAAAGTGTCCTGTGTAGTTATTCATCCTGTTCAAGTCTGATTACTTACTGTTCAGTAGGGTTGAGTTCTCTGGATGGCGTCTGCAAAACCTTCTGGCGTAATGCATCACTCACACAATTGATTATGTGACTATCTGATTAGGCCAAAGCTAACCTTAGGGCACAGCACAAAAATTAGCAATGCCCATTTCCTTACAAGAATAGCTCTGGTTTCTTGGCAAATTGTAGCATTCTAATAACTTTCCCATTCCCAGTCACTGATGTGCTGTTTCTCAGCATTCACCATCTGTGGTAGCCATGTGGCACTGGACAAACAACTTTGGCTGAGATTTTTCTTTTTTTCTTGTTTTTTCAATTGGTTCTGTTTGCAGCAAATGTAGCTGTCCCAGCCAGCGACAGAAGCTAAAAGAAACTATGTTGGTTATTCAGCAACCAGTTGGTTATTCAGTTTGTTATTCATTCTTCTCACATTCCAGAAGCATGAGCATGCCAGGTTAAACCTGTGGAGATAGATGTGCACCACCGTGCAATGTATATAGTATTTTTAAAGAATACAGTTGTTCCTATTCGTCTGCATTTTCCACATTCCTTTATATAACGCTATATTAAACAGTACTTGGTTGTGAGCACATATCTGCAGGCAGATTTTCAGGCTCTTGTCTAATGACAATATGTATTGTACTGACTTCTTGACACTTTGAATTATTCACAATATCTGTAGTGGTAAGGGTCTAGTCTTTTGAGAAGGTCAGAAACACCTGGATAATGCAGATTACCATGGCATCTTGCAAGATCAGGCTCTTCTACTAAAAATGTTGGTATTAAAAATCTAGTCCTGTTTGGTAGTTAGAACAGAAATATTAAAAGAAGTCATTCATTAATTTCTGGAGATTAATATTAATGTATGATGAAATATATGTGATACTGGGACTACATGAACATTTGCATTTCAAAATCTAAATTTAAGAAGAAATTCACTGTTTCATAGTTGTCTGGACAAATGGGGCTGGAGTTCAGAACTAACATTTTCTCAGTGAGAAATGTGGGCCTTAACTGACTCTAATGATAACCTTAATCCAGCTTGAAATGTTGTAGCCACTGGCTTTGAAGTTTATTTTAGACTGAGTAGGGAAGGTAGCTCGTGAGTAGAAAACATCTTCAAGTGACATCCAAGTGGCTTTGAATACTTGAATTTAACTCACATATCAAGTCTACTAGATCTTCATCCCCTCTACCACCTTTTATTTCTTCCTTTTTTTTCCCTTTGGCATATCCTTCTTGTTTGGTTGGTTCCTTGATTGATGCTTGGTTGTATCCCGTGATCATTTATTCTGAACTTTTTTTGCATTAGCATCTTATCTCCATCTCTAAGTTGATACTGCTTCAGAGCTGATCCAAACTCCACTGAAATACCCAGAAATGACCAAGTTTGGATTACACCTCTATCTCTATTCATCTTGTCCATCTGGTTTTCTTTCTTTTGTTTTTATAGGAGTTCCTGCTTTCTTTACTGTTGTTACTATCTTGCCTGCCTTCCTCTTTCAGTTCTTCTTTGCTTACAAAAAGGCAAAAAAAAAAAAAAAAAAAAAAAAAGGCAAAAGAAAACCCCAACAGGAAGAATATTAAATATTAGCTTCCTAGTTTTGTTGTAGCAAAAAGAATCTGGTCCTTTTTTTGATTATCAGATCTTTAGATCTTTCTGTCAGCATGAGTTTTACAGGAGAATTTAAATACATGCATTAGAATTGTGCTTCCCTTCTGTTCCCCTTTCAAATGTGATTCTTTCTAATCTGTGTAAATGCTGAAAGAGACCCAGAAACTGGAGTTTGGATTTGAAATGTGTCAGCAGTCTGTGAGGCATCACAATACAACCTGCCCATGCAATCTGGAGATAATACTGCACAGTGTTGAAGCAGACATGAGATCATACAATTGTTTTAAGAACAGGTTTACAACATGCAATTTTCAAGAAGTAAGAAACATATAAATTGTCTTTTACTATGACTGCATATGTTTTCAACATCATGCTTAATAGCCTGAGACTTGTGCAAACAGAAACAGGAGTGCAGTGACTGTCTGAAAGACTGTGTATTTTGGAGAGGATGCAAGATTCTTTTGTAGCGATGCTGATCACCTGTGATCTGTTATCTGAAACTCTGAGACCTGGAGTTTGAACTCGTAACTGTTTTGATAAGAAAAAGAAAATGCTTGGTGGCATCCCCTGTAATGTTTAGTTGTATTGTCATTTTATGCTTTCTGCAGGAAAATCTCAGTAACCCCGTAAACAGTTTACACCTGAGTATCTTAATGTTGCAAATGCTTTAGATACATATTTTCCTGTAGGCAAGTAAGTAGAGTCATTGAAATCAAAGGGACTTCCCATGCTTATCAGGAAACATGTACCCCAGCACTTTCAGGAGTGAGGTCCTCTCCAGCGAGAGAGGGAAAAAGTGACACAGAGTGAGGGAAGAGTAATCCAGAAAGACTTATCTTCCTTGTATTCTCCTTGCTGTTAGTTCTCTCCAGACCAATAAGCTGATCCTTTACTTCATAGGTGGAATTATTCAGGCATTACTGAAAATACATAAATATGAAGATAGTGAGGAAGTGAATATTTTATTCTGATGTTTTATACCATGGCCTTAACAAAACAAAAACAATCTATATGTCACATAAAATAGGCAGCTGGAGTTGACAGTATATGTGAACAGAAATGTCTGCAAGTGCAATGTTCCCTCCAAATTGTGAAGCATTATTATGTGATTGCCTCATTTAGTGATTAATTCTTTACTGCTTGCTTATGTAGAATAAAACTGTATTTCATTTGAGTCAGCTGGATAAGGAGCACAAATATGGTGATTTAAATTTGCCAGCGACGAAGCAGTTGCAGATATGTCAAACTGCTGTCTTATTATACTTTAATATTAGACAGAAAGTCTTAGAGTTAATAAATCTGAAGATGGAGGGATCTTATTTATTTATTTATTTATTTATTTATTTATTTATTTGCTGTAATGTCATAAGTCCTCTGCAGAAATTAGTTATACTTTATGTATTTTTATCTGCTTTTTAAAATTTATTTGTAAGGCAAAATATTCCTTTGTATGGCATTTGATTTGATAGAGACTGTATTATTCCAGCAGTTTTATAGTCTTCCTTTCTTTTAGTGGGTTATTCTGAATGCGCTTGGGCAGATAGCTTGCCTCAAACCCTCCTGGCATCCGGAGTCTTGTTCTCCATGCAACCCTGCTGGAGCCAGCAGAGTGGCTACGAGTGCAAGGTGGGATGTGGAGGAACAGGCCAGAGCTCTTGTGCGGCGTTCTGCTTCATTGCTGGGAAAAATAAGCTGCATTAATTTGTGAATTATTTCATTTATTTTTATCTTTTGGTAGTAACTTGCATCAGGACTGAATTTTCTTGCAGGCAGATCCCCTTTGAGTCCCAGATAGCTCCTTGGATAACATTACATTGTATTGTTTGTCTTTGTCTATTTTTTTTGGCTGAATTCAACTGATGTCTGTGCATTTTCTCATACAAGGCTACGAAAAGTCTCGAAGCTTAAACAACATAGCTGGCTTGGCAGGCAATGCTCTGCGACTGTCTCCAGTAACATCACCCTACAGCTCACCTTGTCCTCTAAGGCGCTCTCGGTCTCCTATCCCTTCTATCTTGTAAACCAGATGGCGTCAATCGGCTACTTAGTATTAATTCAAATACTGTTTACGCATAATGGAAATAAATGTAGCGTTAACTATAGGCTCCACAAATATGGTATAAAACTCCTGCATGATAACTGTCAGTAGTAAAAAATGCCACTTGGATAGCTGAAGGTTTCTATCTTGGCTTTTAAAAATTACCTAAGGCAGTGCTTCTCCTTTTATCTGCTATATTGTCCTACTCTCCTGTGGCAATAAAAGGACAGTTAGTGGATGCCATTGGCCAGTATACTCCATAAATAAGTATATTTTTCAGGGAGATATATTTTAGTGCTTCCAATTAACTATCAATCACTCCATTGAACCTTCATTTCTTGTGACTCTGCTCCATCCCGAAGATGTCTGGAATTGTGTCTTGGTTGCGCACAGTGTGACTCAGGTCTGCTCATTTGCATGGACCATCCTGTCCCCATCACTTGACAAGCCGTGTTGCCGATTACGGAGACCACAGATGGCTCTGGATATGTGTTCTTGCATTGTACCATCCTGCTGAAATGAAAGCACTGATAAACTGGTCTGCATGTGGGATTGTTTTTATTTGTTTAACCTTTTCCTTTTTTTATTTTTTATTTTTTAAACGAACTACTTGTTTATAAATGGCTTTATTTCTTGATTAACTTACTTTGGTACTAGATTGCTGTATCAGAGTTCTGAATGTCTCCGGTTGTTTGCACACAGATAACTGCAAAGAGGTTGTCATTACTGGTTACACGCAAGCAGAAGCCAGATCTCTTTCTTAATGGCTTGGGGAAGGCACAAAACATGCAAGAAAGGTAAACGCCATCCAGGCTTGCAATTTTAAGCTAGCAAGTGCTGCTTGGTGCTGTAGTCATTTCTCTACTCCAGGGTTCTTCAACATTTTCAGAGGCTGAGTACCAGCTGAGTACCAAAAATCAAGATTATTGGATTATTTTTGTACAACTGTAGGAGGGTCGTAGTTCTCAAGTGGGTTTTTTTGACCAGCCTTATACCGCTGGCTCATGAGCTTCAAAAATTTCTTCAGTCAATGTTTTTTGAGGTGCTTTGTCCTATATGTTGTTTGTCTGTCTGTTTTGCAGCCTGTCTACTGTATTCTCCATCTGTCTCCATACAGCACTGAGATACTGTTAAAATGCTCCCCTCTTTTAAGATTATCTAAGGACATTTTTCTCCTTTTCTCTTTTTTTATGTGGACTATACATACATGTATAGATAAATATATTTATATATATATTTCAAGTGCAAGTTAGTATCATTTAGACTAACTCATGTGGGCACTATGAAGATTTTTTGAGTGGAATTTAGCAATGATTTTATAGTTCTGACCAGTTGCCTATTGCATGACCATCAATCCTGCTTCCTAGCAACCAACATCCATTACATTTTGAAACCGTATCTCCTCTAGTGGCTTTTTCTTTCAATCTGAACATATGTTTATGCAATAGGACAAACACCATAGTGGATTTTATATTCTGGGCTGGTGAGGAAAAATTATCATAAAGCAGATATTTTGAACTACATGGGGAAGACCATAACTCACCGAATCTTAAAATATCCTTGAGACTGTTGAATAATCCCTGATTGTCGTGTTTTAATTTTTGTTAGGAAGAGAAATATAACTTATTGTTGACCATGTAACATGTTCTCCTGTATATAGCCTAGCCCAACAGCATGATCTGCATGTCAGAATCCTTGTATAATAATGTATTTATCGAAGTATACATTTCTGATATTTAGAGATGTACATTTGTTTAGTTTTGGTAAAATATTGTCAATAGATAATTGCAAACAGCTTTTAGCAAAGGAATTAATATAATATCTGGTGCTGCTGTTATATTAACTACAGTGTTGTACAGAATTTATCATGGATTTTTGACTGCTGAAAAAGGGACAATGGAATTTAGCCATACCAAGGACTGTACTGGAAAGAGACTCCTGCTGCTGAATGGGCCCTGATAAACAGCTCACGCCTTGAGGAGGTCACTGAGACTTTACACGGGAAGTAGAGCTTGTGAAGGAAGATTAAAGACCGCTCGTAATTACTGCTGCCAGTGGAAGGGGTGCCAAGTCACTGTTGATGAGCCAGCTGTAAATAAAATGTGTGTGCATGGAATATCAGTTTTTATCTATATCAAGGAAAGCTGAGTTCAAGTCATCATTGCTAAGACTCCATGCAAAGACCCACACCCCTATGTATATCCTTCCTGGTTCCCGCAGTAAGCTGTGCTGTGGATCATACAAAGACACACACCTATAATGATAGTGATGTAAACTACATCTGTCTTGACTTGCATCATAATATTGGTATATTTTGCAAAGGTCACAAATATGGACAGAGTAGGTTTGCATAAATCTTTGCTTCCTGCGTTTGCCATGATCTATATTTATATGAATTCTAGCGTACATGCCAAATCTTAGTTTACTTTTCACTTGATAAGAGAAATGTGACTGCAGACAAACATCACTGACTTTGTTCACAGCACACAGTCTTTTTTCATTGTTACCTCAGACTATCAATATTATGAGAGATAAAATTCTGGCAGCAAGAATTTCTTTTTTTATTAAAAGTGTTGCAAACTCAACATCAGTAAGTATGTAAGATGTATTAAAATAATATCCTAAAAATGTATATTTTACATAAAAGAGATATTCTTTGATCAGTTACTTTTTGTGATTTTTGTGGTAAATGGAACAAGTCTATTCTATGTTTATGAAGCATTGTAGTGGTACGATGTGATAATTACGTTCTCTCCATCCTATTCAATGAGAAATTCTCCAGAATTTGTTTGTCACCCTGGTGTCCCGATTGTAGGGACATATCCCAATTGTGAAACTCTGTATCGTGGAACTTCTGTGAACATGTCAAGGTGCATGCACAATCCTGGTGGAAACCAGTGGAAATGTAATATCTGAATTGGAGAATAAAAGGCAAAAGATCTGGGGAGGAACTTGGAACACACCTTCTGACGTGGCTCGTGCGCTTTCTTTAGCTCTGTTGGTCCTTTCTGTGCCATTGGCCATCCTTATGATTTTCACACCAGTTTCCTGGGTACGTGAGGAGCTAACCCAAAGACTAGCATGAACTGGCTTTTACACCAGTTTAAGTTCTACCTTCTTGTTAATGATGCCACACCTTGTGCAGAAATAGTAATTGGGATAGATATCATGGATTCGATGCAGTTTTAGCATGTCCTGATATGAAGTGAACCTAAAAAAAAAACAATCCTAGAGATGATAATTAAAACTCCTAGTCTTTCAGTCATCACCCAAAAACTCCTTGCTTTTTGGGTGATTACTGAAATCCCTGAATACTCAAGCAGAATATCCGAGAGTGATGATCAGAGAGACTGTCACTGGACCGTGTTTAGTTCAGGAAGATATTTCAGAAGAGGTACTGGGATTCTAGAAATGATTCTAGAAAGCATGCTCAAAACTGTTCACATTTTGGAAAATATGTTAGAGAGCTCTGTTACAAGAGCTCTGTCTGCTTAGTTTACTGAAATTCAGAAGGTATCTCAGCTGTCCTATGAGTAGTACCTGCATAAAGAAGAGTTTTTTCTGTTTAGCTGCTCCTCTGTCCCAGACAAGCTTAGAGCTCCTTCCAGTCATGTCTCTCTTGCATCTGTCCCCCACAGCGAACTCAGCTCCCGGAGGGAAAGGTCTTTCCTCGCTGCTACCTGAGAATAGTTAGATGTCCAAAATGGGATCCAAATAGTGGTACATGGTGCTGCACAAGACAGTAGGAAGCAGTAATGGCCATGGTGTGGCTGAAGCCTTCTTCTGCATCTTGAGGTAAGGAGGTTGAATCAGGACCTCCACAAATACAGGATATGGAGTCCAGACTGGCCTGATTGCAACTGCTTGTATTCCATGAGAGAGCCAAGCGTATTTTAAAAAATGTATAGAAGACAAGGTGAGTCTGCTAACTATTCATGCGTCAAACTCTCATGTGACTTCCCTGAGAGGAAGAATTTGTTTAACCATCAGTCTTCAAAGGCCTGGACCCATGAAAGTTCATGGAGGTAGCTGGTCTGTGTCTGGAAGGGATGGGGATTTTCATTGGAGGTGGAACAGCAAGGTTTTGATCCCTCTAACTGAGGAAGATTTTGAGACTTGAGCTCCATTTTTGGAATAACCCAGTTCTTATAATGCAGTTACTGTATAAAAGGCTGCACATTTGCATCCACTTTCTTTCTTGGCCATCTTTTAAAAATGTATGAGTAAACTGGTATTTCATAAAAGGGGAATGTCACCCTGACAGTTTTTTGGACTTAGACAGAACATACCTACCAGTCCCCAAAGGCATTTCAGCACTGGAAATGTGGGCCCTGAGAATCCGATAGTCATGGAAGATCAGTTGTGGGGATTTCTGGTCTGCTTGAAAAGTGTAAACAATTTGTTAAGTATTGTATAAATAAGGCTTGATGGTTGGAAGTCAAAACTAGTTAAACTCAGCCTAGAAATAAGGTTTGAACCAATGTATCCATCAAGACAGGCTGCCATAAAGAAACTATAAAACTGTAATATTTATTGAGGAGATGAGCAGATTTATGGGACTTTGAACACATTTATCATTCTTGTGAGACTTTGTTCAGCACTGAGAAAACTTTGCTGTTCCAGCTGTTTCTGTGACACAATATTAGTAATGTTGTAGGTATATTCTGCAAACTGGAGCCAGAATTGCTAAGAGACATGCAGCTAAACAAATTGAGATCAAGCTGTGTGTCAGGGGGCTTTTTCTTGTGTGAAAAAAGTGTTGCTCCTAAATGTCCTCTTACAAAAGATTTGGATGAAACTGTTAAAAGACAGGGAATTTTAAGGAGGCCTCTGTGGAGAATGGTTAGTGAAAACTAGAGCTGGAAGGGAGCTATCTAACAAGAGCAAACGTGCTGGCATATTTTAATGGGAAGGTATGAATTAAAAAGTCATGAATGAATTAAACTATATGAAAGAAGAGGGCATTTTATCATTAGAATAAATCATACACAGATAAAGAAAATTGGAATGGAGTGAAAAAAGTGAAAATGAATATATTAATATGCTGTATTACAAGCTGTGTCTTGAACAATTCCATAATAGATACTTTGAGCACTAACTGAATGAGAAGAAATTAGGAAAAAAAAGCAAAGGTTTCAGGCAATTTGAAGTTATCAGAAATATTAATATAATACATTATTTTCTATTTGGAAATGCTTTTTATTAATTTATAAAGAGATGAATCATTTTAAAAACGATGATTTCTTTTTCTAAGTGAAGTATTGGCTCATGAGCAAAGACAGAGCTTTTGGTGTATGTGCCCTAGTGTTGCCTACGTAACCTATGTGATCATTACCAACATTTTCCTTCTACTTAGCTGCATTTCTTGAGCTGCTACCTCTGGGATGGGTTGAGATTGCAGAGGTTTCTGATTCTTGGATTCTCTGTCACACTTCAGCTCTGTGGGAGGAAAATCTGTGCACGGAGACTGGCTGGGAGCCCTAATTTGAGAGATGCAGAGACCCAGGCAGTGGAAAGCCCCAGAGCCCCAGTTTATGGGCAGCTTCTCCATGCTTTTTAGCAGAACACACACGCCTCCCTCAAGCCTCGGCAGCCCCCTCTCCAAAATGCAGCCTTCTGCTGCTTGTATTTTTTTCTTCTCCAGCACATGTTGATGAACAGCTGACAGGTTTCAGAGTCATACTTTCACAGTTTCACATTCACATATGGTAATATTCTAGCATAGATTTGTGATTTTTTTTTTTTTAAAGAAATGAGGTGGGCATTTTTTGAAAATTCTCACATGCAGTGCATTTCATTTTAATACCTTTGTGTCTGCTGTATGACTGGAGGTAGACTGGATATAGTCCAGGTGGTAGACTGGAGATCAGTATAAAGATGGGGCCATAGTTAGGCTATATTGAAACTTAGAGGGAGTGTTCAATTTGTGCTCTGCAACTGGTTATAATAGAACTGCATCTGCCTTTTACTGTCACATGAAGGGCTTAAATCCCCCCAGATGGGATTTGAGGATAAGCTGCTAGGGCATGTCAGAGACTTATATTTCATTTCTTCTCTATGGAATGATTGTAGCTCCTACTGGACTGTAAACATGAAGTATAAAATGAAGAAAAAAAATTGGGGGGGAAATACTAGGAATGGAGATGGTTATAATCCATCATTGTCTTACAGAATGGTGCAGGCACCTTTGCTTTAAAACACTGAAAGCAGATGATTTTCTTTCATCTTCTTCAGAGCAGCATTAGATTTGCCTGAGGTGCTGAAAGACTGAAGCAAGAAAGTGTAAGTTGTTCCCCTTGCCCTGAAAACTGCTTATTTGCAACAGCAGCAAGATCAGTTTTATTTAAGCAGCTTGGACTTGGCAATGAAACAATGCAAAGATCCATCAATCCAAAGAAGAGTAAACTGTAGCCACATTATCCCATTTGTTTGACTCTAAAAATAGATTTTTAGGCTTCTACAGGGATTTCCTTGCTTTGTGACTAAATGCTGAATTGGGGATTTATGGAAATCCTATTTTATTCATAGCTATAAGTGTTGTTGGTTTAATGCAGCATTTTGAGAGTCTTAAGACATTGTTTACTAGGACTTTTTATTTTGCTGGAGAAAACGGGCTTCTTCTCAACTGAAATGTTGGGAAGGAAGGAAAACAGAGTACTGAACGATGTAGTTTTCTTGACCTCATAAAGAAGCTGCTGTAAGTACCTGCTGCTACACAGTAATAAAGACACACAGCTTTCCCTGTGTCAGTGTCTTGACACGGGCTGTAGCTTTTCTGCTCTGAAACTGCTAAACTTAGTGCTGGTTAGAAATCACAGCAACAAATTTCATTGTTTCTGTTGTTGTAGCCCTTGCTCAGTCTTTGCGAATTTAGCTTCAAATTCGAGAGTAATGGAGCAATGTAGAGTTTGACCACACTAAGTCTGAGCTCAGAGGAAAGCCTCATGCCAAGTCTGGCTGTAATGAAGAGTTGTCTTAGCCCAGGGCAACAAGTTCTTGGTTTGAAGTAGCCTCACTGAGAAGAATGGCAAAAACTCCCTTTGACTTACTTCAGAGGAAGCAGGTCTGGGAAAGCATGTGGTCTGTATCACAGATCTGCTATGGTGATCATCATCGATTTCTGGGTGCCAGTGGCCTTCGGGATTTGCTGCTTGCGGCTTTGATCTGTCTTCTCCTCTGCTTTCCTGCATGCCCCAGCAAGGCTGTGGCTGTGGCTGCAGCAGAGGGGTCCACATGCAGGGTATCGATGGGGCTGGGAAGTTTCAGATGCAGGGAGGAGGAGGAGGAGAAGAGGAATAAAAACACATCAACCAAAGGGGACTAAAACAATCTCAATGAATTACCTCCAGCGGGTGGCAATACCAGTCTCTCTGGCATGCCTGGTGCCTCCTCCAGCCAAGCCACTTGGCTTTCTGCAAGGCTAAATAAAAATGATGAATCATCTCAAAAAACTCATTTTACCCACATCTGAGGCTTCTGTTTCTGGATAGGACAAATGGATCACTTTGAGTACTTAGGGGCCAAAAAATGTAGCTGGAACTGGAAGGTTAACGGGAAGATGGCAAATCTTGATGAGTCACACCTCAAGTGTTTGTCTAAATGGGGACACTGAAGAAATTGAAATTGCATCAATTAAAAATATGCATTCAACATGCTTAAATTAAACCTCTTTAAATGCCCCAAAGAAGACTGTTACTCATGTCATAGCATCTCAGAAATATAGGGACCTAAATAATATCATTATATCCTCAAAGCTTTACATCAGATGCTATGACTCCTTGAGAATGTGAGTAAAGCTTCTTCCTAAATGTTTTATTGATAAACTCTTCTAAAGATACCACTAAATGTAGCTCAAAGTGATTTTTTTTTCTGTTTTCCCTATCTTCAGAGAGATCATTCAACTATCTTCCGAGGGTTGTGC